TTCTTTATTTGCAACTTTTATTTTAGGTTCAGGAGTACACATGCAAGTTTGTTACCTTGGCAAATTGCATATGCCTGGGGTTTGGTGTACAAAAAATAATTTTGCCACCCAGATAGTGAGCATAGTAGCTGATAGTTTTTTGACCCTCACGTTCCTTCCACTCTCCATTCTCAGGAAGGCCCTAGTGTCTATTGTTCCCATCTTTGTGTCCATGTGTACTCAATGCTTGGCTTCTACCTATAAGTAAAAACATAACAGTATTTGGTTTTCTGATCCTAAATTCACTTGATGGTCTCTAGCTGCAACCCTGTTGCTGAAAAGAACACAATTTCTTTTTTTCTCTAGGCTTTAGCTTTCATTTTACAAAAGTTTTCACTTTTTTCATATTATTACCAAGTGTAGAAATACCAGAGTTCCCCCCACCCCATTCCTTACTGTGCTAACTTGCACAGATTCTCACAAGAAGTTTATGTATCTTGTTACTTTTGTCCCCATGTATCTATTTTCCATCAGGCTGTTCTCAAGATTTTCCTTCACCACTAGTTTTCAGCAATTTGTCTTGATTTTATTTGTGTTTAGCCTTGATTTCCTTGAGCTTCTTAGACCTGTGAGTGATAGGTTCCAAGGAATTTGGAGTCTTTTCAACCATTATTTTTGCGTATTTTTTCTGCAGTGTTCATGCCAAGGGCTTGAGACAGTTAGCGTGACTCGCCCCATCTTGGCTGCTGGACCTATCTGCTCTTCCCCTGCTCTCAAGGGCTGTCGAGTCGAGGTAAAAATGGCTAAGCCACTGAGGCAAAAACAGAATGCAGAGTAAGGGCCTGCGGTTTATGAGGACATTGTGCTGATTGCTTCATATCCCCTTTAGTCTCTGTGTAAGCAATAAGCTTGCTGCAATTGAGGTGCCTGAGAGGGGCAAAGACCCCTGCCCATATTTTCTCAGGAGCTGAGCCTTTGTTCTACCTCCTGATGGAAAACATAGTTAACAAGCCACCTTAAGGGAACCATTGTTTGTTTGCACTATGTATCTTTGAAAAACATACATTAACTCTTAAACTGCTTTGTAAGCTATTATCACAAGCCCCTTTAAAACTGCTTTGTGAGCTGTTATCACATGCCCCTGATAACTATTTTTACGTGATTTCTGTTCCCTTTTCTGTTTGCCCCCTTTTCTGCTGAGCTAAAGTAAATGTAACAAGAAAAAAGGTATAAAAGCTGTAACCCACAGAAATAAAGTTGCTGTTTGACTACAGGTCACTCAGACCTCCAGACTCCACTTTTCTTTCTTCTTTCACTTCCGTGCACTCTCTCCCTCAGGTTGAACGAGACATCTATGTTGGTGGTCTCAGGGACTCCCGCAGGTCAGTAGCCCCCCCCGGCAGATGTGCCAGACCCCAACATTTTTCTGCCTTCTCCCCACTTCTGAGACTCACATTTACATATATCTTGAACTGCTTTATATTTTCCCACAGATCACTGAGACTCTCTTAGTGTTTTACCTCTGTGCTTCATTTTTCTTGGTATGTTCTCAAATTCACTGATTTTTCTCCCCAAAATTGGTATTTAATCTCCAATAAATTTTCTCTTCAGATGTTTTCTTTTCCATAAGTCCCACTTTGTTCTTTTATCTTTCAATTCTCTCATTGTGCTTTTAACCAAAGCACAATGCTTTAACAAAAATCTTTAGGATGCTGCAGCTTCTTTAATATTGTTATGCTAATACCATCTCGCCTGCCACTTGCATCTTAGGCTATTTTTTCCTGTTTTGGGTCACATTTTCCTGCTTCTTTATATAGACAGTGGACATTGTAAAATTTATACTGTTAAGTGGTAGATATTGTTACACTTTTCTAACAATGTTGAACTTCATTCTGTAGGCAAATACTTGTGAATTGCCTTGATTCTTCTGAATTATTTAAAAAGCAGTTTACAGAAGAGCTGAAATCTTTAGAGACAGGTCTGCTCCCAATTTATAACTTTTCTGGCATTTCCACTGTGTGGGTGATCACTGGTCATAACTAGAACCTTTCTTTGCCACATGTAAACTCTGGGCAGTTTCCAACTTGCAGCTCCCTGACTGCACTTACTGCCCAGTCAGGTGTGGGAACTGTATTCTACACATGTACTATTTAATATTTTCAAAAGAAAAACCCCTGTGCACATTTCTGAAAATCTTTTCTGTATATCTCCCTCCTCTCCTGAACTCTGCCCCAAGCTAGCCAGCATAGTCTCTCTGTTATCTTCTCAACACATTAAGAACTTCGTGTTCTGTTTGGGACCAGCTTTATCATTATCCAGAATGTGTCTCCAAGTAGAAAGTTTGTGTGATTACTGCACAATTTCTTTTTTTTTTTTTTTTACATAGACTCTCACTCTGTCACCCAGCCTGTAATGCATGATCACAGCTCACTGCAGCCTTGACCTCCCTAAGCTCAGGTGATCCTTCCACCTCAATCTCCCAAATAGCTGAGACTTCAGGCATGCACCACCACACCTGGCTAAGTTTTTTACTGTTTGTAGAAATAGATTTTCACAATGTTGCCAAGGCTGGTCTTGAACTCCTGGGCTCCAGTGACTGCCTTAGGAATCAAAATTTGGGGAATACAGGCATGAGCCACCACACCTGGCCCAAATGATTCTGTTCTATCAGGGATCACAGTCCTTATACAAACCAATTATTCCATCATGGCTCCAACAGAAGGTCATGTTTTTTGACACTGGTGATGTCACTGGAAAGAAACACTCTTACACTTTACTGGTAAGAATGTAAATTAACATTTTGAAAAGTAACTGGTCATAATCTATTAAAATTTAAAATTCATGCATACTTTTGACTTGGCAGTATATAAACAAAATGCAAGAATAAGCATATAAAGATATTTATTGCACTAGTTTGCAGAAATAGAAAACTCAACCTGAGTGCTCAGCTTACGGGGAATGGGTGTACCATGGCATTGCTGTTACTAGGTTGCTACATGTAATTCTGCAGGCAGTTTGAAAAAGGAAAGCAAGGTGCACAAGACAAATACCAACAAAATGTAATGTATAGACCTCATTTAAATCTGAACTCAAACCAACTATTATTGTAAAAGGCTGACATCAGTTCAAGATACATACTTAAAATATGTAGAAGGGAAATGGTATACAGCATATTGGTTGTCTTTAAAATATTCCGGTGAAAACTTACTGAGAGAGAAAACAAGAAAGGCAAAAATAGGGTGATTATTACAGAGGTTATAGGTACACTGTCCTATTTTATTTTTGGATATGTTTAAAATTTTAAAATTAAAACAAATTAAAGTGACAGATATATTTTCAATTATCCTACTACAGTATACTATTACCAGACTGAAATGAGACCCATACTTGAGCACAGAAAAAAGTCAAAAAATAAACACCAAAGTTTTAACAGATGAGTGCGATACGACAAAGGTGGTTTTTAAAAAAATTATTTAGATGGGTGCAGTGGCTCACACCTGTAACCCCAGCACTTTTGGAGGCTGAGGTGGGTGGATTACTTGAGGTTATGAGTTCAAGACCAGCCTGGCCAACGTGGTGAAACCCCATCCCTACTAAAAATACAAAAATTAGCCAGGTGTGATGGTGTGCAACTGTAATCCCAGCTACTCAGGAGGCTGAGGCAGGAGAATCACTTGAACCCAGGAGGCAGAGGTTGCGGTGAGCTGAGATCATGCCACTGCACTCCAGCCTGGGCAACAAGAGCAAAACTCCATCTCAAAAACAAACAAAAACAAAAAACAAACCAACCAAAAAAAAAAAAACAAAGATGATATATTAGATAACAGATAGCACTGCATATAAAAAGGTAAGTATTTCTTGGGAACATTTGTTTTTCTATGAACACCTTTGTACACAGTAACTCAATTTTGAGGTCTTGAGTTTCGAGAATACTGTGCATTTGCTTGGAATCAGACATAGAAGAACTGTAGGCATTGATGGCTGCTCCAGAATATTATTCTCACTCATCTTCACTCACTGAACACCATTAATCTCTTCTGACAATCATCGATTTCTGATCATCATCCCTCATTCAACAACATTCTAATTAGTACGTTTAAATTATTTAAAGCTGTTTTTATCTTACTGTCATTTGTGTCCATTACATACTAATACATTTATTGTCAATACAGTATCTGTTGAAGTAAAGAGGGAAAATATAATTCATACATTATGTTTTTCAAAATCACTGCATGCACACACATATCTGGTAATTAACTGTTAACTGGCTTTTGAATGTTTTACATTATTCAGAAACCCTGACAGACGTCATTTAGGTGGTTTAAGCTGAATTCAAATTAAAATTGGTTAGCATTTTTTAATGAACTGAAAACATAGTATTTTTCCTATTTAAAATAATGGGGCCAAATAAAAATAATTTTAAAAAATAAAATAATGGGGCCAGATGTGGTGACTCATAGTTGTAATCCCAACATTTCAGGAGGCCAAGGAAGATGGACTACTTGAGCCTAGGAGTTCAAGATCAGATGGGGAAACACAGAGAGACCCCATCTCTAAAAAAATTTCTTTTAAAAAGGAGCCAGGCTGCAGTCAGTAGAGGAGGGCTAGGGGAGAGACAGTAGGGTGGGGAGGGTGGGAAGGGATAATGAGGGGAGAAATATCAGATGTTGGTGGGGGGGGATGAAGGCAGCAAACCACCTTGCCATGTATGTACCTATTCAATAATCCTGTGTGATCTGCACATGTACCCCAGAACCTAAATTATAATTAAAAAAAAAGATTAAAAAAAAGGAGCCAGGCATGGTGGTGAACAGCTATGATGACAGCTACTCAGCAGGCTGAAGCTGGAGGATCGCTTAAGCCCTGGAGGTCAAGGCTGCAGTGAGGTGTAATTGTGCTTGTCGGGGTCCGGCACGTCTGCTGGGGGACTACTGACCTGCGGGAGTCCCCGAGACCGCCAACGTAGATGTCTCGTTCAACCTGAGAGAGAGAGTGCACGGAAAAGAAAGAATATAGAAAAGTAGAGTCTGGAGGGCTGCGTGAAGATTATGGCCAAAACGCAGCAAATTTATTTTTGTGGGTTACAGCTTTTATACCTTTTTTCTTGTTTACATTTACCTTATCTCAGCAGAAAGAAAGAAAGGGGTAGACAGAAAGGAAACAGAAACTCCATAAAAAATAGTTATCAGGGGCTTGTGATATCCGCACAGAAGGCAGTTTAAGGGGGCTAGTGGTAGTAGTTTACATTTCAAAGATACAATGGCGCCCTTAAGGTGGCTGGTTAAACCTGTTTTTCACCAGGAGCTAAAACAAAGGCTTGGCTCCAGGGAAAATATGGGCAGAGGTCTCTGCTCCTCTTATGCATCTCAATTGCAGCAAGTTTATTGCTTACACAGAGACTGAAGGGGGACATGGAAGCAGACAGCACAATGTCCTCATAAACTGCAGGCCTTTGCTTTGCATCCTGTTGTTGCTTTTAGTGAGTCAGCTCACGGCCCTGTCTCACTCGACAGCCCTCAAGGTGGGGAAATGCAGTACAGGTCCAGCAGCCAAACTGGGGCGAGTCAACTAGCTGTCTCGAGCCCTTGGCGCGAACACCACATGTGCTACTGTACTCTAGCCTGAACAAGGAGAGTGAGACACTGTCACACACAAATACAAAGAATAAAGAAATGACATATAGGCTCTGAGATCTGGGTCTCTAAAAATTTACAATTCAGTGTATCAGAAATGGGTTAGATTCAAATGAGGAAAAACTGTAGTTAGTAAATTTTGTTTTTATTTCCATTTAAGGCATACATATTTTATATACACACACAAACACACATACATATATACATGTATATATTATGTAGTATATATTAATATTTTATATATATATAACTACCTTGACCATCATTTTGTTGATAAATTCTTTTTCCCTTAAAGTAACAAGAAAATGTGGGTCAAAAACTTTTGCTTTCAGAATTTGTTGTAGAAAAATAATCTCTCCTTCACTTTCTTAAGAAACAAAACAACAAAAAACATCAACAGCCCTAAAGCAATTTCTGCAAGTTTCTTTCTGGTATGGATTATCTGATGCTGCAAAACTGATGTGCTCTGAAGTCCTTCATACCTTTACTACACTCTAAAGGTCTTGTTCTAAAGTAAACTGTTGTTCCAAAAAGGATACATGATAAGAGAATGCTTGAATCCTTTTATTGTACTCATAAAATATTCCCACCATTTGAGTTCTCTAACAGTATGTAATGATAATGGTAATCATTTTAATAATAAATATGAGATACTACCCAAAGGGAATTATATATATTTATTTATAATTTCATCATTATAATATAATTACAGTATTTTACAAATAGAAAAAACACAAATTAAGAAATGTATCTGATTTCAGTTAGGATATAGTGAAATGGAGATGATGCTTGATAAAGGATATAATTCAGCTTTATATTCTAGGGTTATACAGATGTAAATTATCTAAGCGGTTTCTGAAGTCATTCTGCATCCAGGTTAACATAAGCCTTCTAAGAATGAGTCAATTCTGGCCGGGCACGGTGGCTCAAGCCTGTATTCCCAGCACTTTGGGAGGCCGAGGCTGGTGGATCACGAGGTCAAGAGTCGAGACCATCCTGGTCAACATGGTGAAACCCTGTCTCTACTAAAAATATTTTTAAAAATTAGCTGGGCATGGTGGTGTGTGCCTGTAATCCCAGCTTCTCGGGAGGCTGAGGCAGGAGAATTGCCTGAACTCAGGAGGCGGAGGTTGCAGTGAGCCGAGATCGCGCCATTGCACTCCAGCCTGGGTAATAAGAGCAAAAAACTCCGTCTCAAAAAAAAAAACTAAAAAGAAAAGAAAAAAAAAAGAATGAGTCAATTCTGAGAAGAAGCAAAAGGATGTCCTACATTCATATAGATATGATGTAGATGATGAAGACCTGCTTATATTTAATCACTTTCAAGGCTTTCTCAATTATGAAGCTTTATATGTTGAGTAAGTTGTGAAGGACGTCCGAAGTCTTTGCCACACTGGACACATGTATAGGGTTTCTCACCAGAATGGATCCTTTGATGCAGAGTAAGTTCTGAACCACGACTAAAGGCCTTCCCACATTCCTTACATTCATAGGGTTTCTCTCCAGTATGAGTTCTCAGATGTTCAGTAAGGTGTGAACCACGAATAAATGCCTTCCCACACTGTTTACATTCATAAGGTTTTTCACCTCTATGAATTCTCTGATGTTCACTAAGCTGTGAGCCATAAATAAAGGCTTTGTTACATTCCTTACATTTGTAGGGCTTTTCACCTGTATGAATTCTTTGATGATATGTAAGTTGTGTAGTACGAACAAAGGTCTTCCCACATTCCTTACATTCATAATGTTTCTCACCATGAATTTTCTCATGTTGAGTAAGATATGCAACACGAATAAAAGCCTTTCCACATTCCTTACATTCAAAGGGTTTCTCACCTGTATGAATTCTCTGATGTTCACTAAGTTGTTTGCCACATATAAAGGCCTTTCCACATTCCTTACACTTGTAGGGCTTCTCTCCAGTATGAATTCTTTGATGTTGAGTAAGATTAGAATTAGAAATAAAAGCTTTCCCACATTCTTCGCACTTATAGGGTCTCTCACCTGAATGAACTCTCAGGTGGTAAGTAAGTTGTGAGCCACGAAAAAAGGCCTTTCCGCATTCTTTACATTCATAGGGCTTCTCACCTGTATGAATTCTCTGATGTTCATTCAGTTGGGAGGCACATAAAAAGGCTTTCCCACATTCTTTACATATATAAGGCTTTTCACCAGTATGAACTCTCTGATGATATGTAAGGTGTGAACCAAGAATAAAGGACTTTCCACATTCCTTACACTCATAGGGTTTCTCACCACTATGAATTCTTTGATGGTAAGTAAGTTGAGAGCCAAGAATAAAGGCCTTCCCACATTCCTTACATTCATAAGGTTTTTCACCACTATGAACTCTCTGATGAAGCGTATATTGTGAACAGTAACTAAAGGCTTTTCCACATTTCTTACATTTATATGGTTTTTCTCCTGTATGAACTCTCTGATGTTCAGTGAGCTGTGAACCACGAATAAAAGCTTTCCCACATGCTTCACACTGATAAGGTTTTTCATTAGTATGAATTTTCTGATGTTGAATGAGATCGGAACTACGACCAAAGGCCTTTCCACATTCCATACACTCATAAGGTTTCTCAGCAGTCTGAATTATCTGATGTTGACTATAGCTTGGCTTTTTGCTGCAGGTATTCCTATTCTTCCTGACTTTAGAACATTTTTCTATATTATGATTTTTCTCATGTTGAATAAGGCATGACAGGTAGCAAAAATCTTGTCTACATTCCTTACATTTGTACAATTTTTCCTTGGTAGGAATTATCTGGTGAGAAGTAGAAGAGGTTGAATGGCTTTCAGTGGCCTTTTCTTCACAGGTAATTTTGACATACATGTAAAGTCCTTCCTGACTTGCTTCTTGACCCCCTAAGTTGTCTTTGTACTCCATATTGTCTCCAAGACCATTGCATTGAAGGTGATGGTTGATAAACTTCCCCATATTCTCCCACTGGAGTGATTCCATTTCGTAAATTTCCTTTTCTGGAGATAACTCATTAATCTCATGACTGGATTCCAAATCTGCAGAATAACAAGAAAGCGAATTCCTGCTTTTGTTTACAAGGAGAAATAATTCTACAGTAAAAAATGATAGATAAAAATAATTCTCATCAGAATGGCTTAAACAGTACAAAAATATTTTGTGCCATATTTCTTTAAAGGCACAAGGAGAGCTTATAGGAAAGAAGGAAATTAGAAAAATAGGTTAAGTCTGGTTCTCAAACTTTGGAATGGCTTAGAAACACCCAGGAAGCTTATAAAATAGAATAAAAACACCCTCTTGAAAAGAAACAGATGTCTAGCTGGACATACAATCTATCAACAAATCCTATTGGCTCTCTTATCAACATTTATTAAGAATCTGGTCACCTCCACTGCCACCATCCTAGGCCAAGTCACCTATCTCTCATTGTCATAACCTCTTAGCTGGTTTCCCTACTTTCATCCTTGCTTCTGTAATCTATTCTTCACAGAGCAGCCAAAGGAATTCTCTTAAAATGTAGTTTATATCAGATCATTCCCCTGCTAAAAACCTCCCAATGGTTTGCCATCTCAGGATAAAATCCAAAGTCCTTAATATGGCTCACAAGACCCTATACAAGCTTGCCCTTGGCCACTTTTCTTGACCTGTCATTTCCTAACATGGCCACTTTTCTCTATCATCACCTACCACTCCCCTAATTATTCATTTGTCTCTGGTCATATGGCCTCCTTGGTGTTAAAAAGTGTCATGTCAAGCATATGCCTCTGTGTTTACAGTTTTATCTTTAGAATGCCCTTCTAGATATACGTATGGCTTATTCCCTCATACAGTTTTCTGCTCAGCTGTCAACATTATCAAAACGTACAACACATAACTGTACCTATATTGCATTTTTCACTAATGGATATACCATTTCTAAAGTTTGACTACTGTCTGTCTGTCCCATGCTTAATCAAAGCAAGGACTTTGTTTCATATACTGCTTTATCTCTAGTGCCTAACATCATTACTTGCACATTGTTGGCATTCAATATTAGTCAATTTTTTAAATGTAATTGTCCCTTCATTCACAAATCTCCTTAGATGCTTCTCACACAACACGAAGTTTGAGAACAGAACTAATAATCTTTCAGTGGTTTACCCTTGTACTTAGAACAAAATCCAAACTCCTATTCATGGCCTACAAGCCCCTTTATGATCCAATTCTTTCTTAAATTTCTCTAATTTCTTCAAAATTACCTTTTAAGTCTCATTTTGAGCCACTACTATCTTCAGGAACAATGCTCTAATCTTATTGGCCTGATTTTAGTTCTGAGAACATGTCAAATTCTTTCCCTTATTTTAGGTTTTCCATATGCCATTCCATCTACCAAGAATGCTAAGTGGCCACCTCCTTTGTGTCTGAAATGTCCTAGCTTAAATGTTAGCTGCTCAGAAAGACTGTCCTGGATCACTTTAATTAGGTCCATGCCATGTATTTTCTATACCTGTGATTTATTCCTAATTCTTGTTTGAATGTTTGCAATTCTAAAATTTCATTTCTTTATCTGTTGATGTTTCTACTCCTCAAGTTCCACATGTATGGGGGGAAATTTGTTTTATTATATAGCTATATCGCAGAGCACGGTATACATACAATGTCTTGTTCCTTCCATATAGTTTTTAGGTCTGACTTTCCAATATTTTCTACTTAAGGCCAAATGTTCTTATATTTACCAAAGAAGTACCTCAAAATGTCCTAGAAATAGTGACAAGTTTACACAATAAAGATGTTATATTATTCTGAAGAAAGAAGTTGGGAAACAAGTGTACTTTTCAAATGTAGAGAAACTATCTGATGTAACTGGATCAGCAGGCACAGGCTCTCTGACCACTGTTTATAGGCTGGAGAATAACAGAGAGTGGTAATGGGACAAGTTTACACAATAAAGATGTTATATTATTCTGAAGAAAGAAGTTGGGAAACAAGTGTACTTTTCAAATGCAGAGAAACTATCTGATGTAACTGGATCAGCAGGCACAGGCTCTCTGACCACTGTTTATAGGCTGGAGAATAATAGAGAGTGGTAATGGGAAGAAAAATATAAATCAGTAAGTTCGAATTTAAACTGTCCTTTAGAAATATGCCTCAGAAACTTGAGAAAACATGCTTTTGCTGAAGAGCAAAAAGAAATTGTAAAAACAAAAGCAACTACCCCCCACCCCCAACCTGTCATATACACAGCACAGCTCAGTTTAATACCAATTCATGTCAGCAAAATATCTTGGAACATGATAGATTCTGCTTTTATTTTGTTTCTTTCATAGAAGAAAAATATGATTTATAAAACACTTTAAAAGGAATCAATGGGTTTATGGTGATTAAGGGAACATTATCAGGAATCAAATAAATTCAGCTGGAACCCAAAACAGCTATCTATGTGCTAGTGGCCTAATAAAAATGGGAAAAATATAAATTGAATATGATTCTGGGGTAGGAGGCACTATGAGAACAGAGGAAGGTGCTAAACAGAAGTCTAGAGGGATGAAGAAAAAGTGAAGATTGGAATACCAAAGTCTCAGAACTGTGCCCAGAATGAGGGGTACATATAAAAATGTATTCAATTAAGTAGCAGCTCTTTTTATTGTCATTAAGTTAATGAAAAACTATATGGTGAAAAAAAAAAACTGCAAAAGAGGTGATGAGTGAAGACAATGAAATGGAGTCTGAAAAGGTGGAGTCATTTTAGGAAGTTTCTTTTATACTTGACCTCATCAAGTCCTACTGCATATATCTCCTAAGTAGCCCTTGAACCTGTTAACTTATCACCAATACCTCTGCTGACACTCAGGAAGCCCAAAGCATTTTTTTTTTTTTTTTGAGATAGAGACTCACTCTATCATCCAGGTTGGAGTATAGTGGCGTGATCTCAGCTCATTGCAACCTCCACCTCCAAGGTTCAAGCAATTCTGCCTCGGCCTCCCAAGTAGCTGGGATCACAGGTGTGCGCCACCATGCCTGGCTCATTTTTATATTTTTAGTAGAGATGGGGGCTTCAAGCATGTTGGCCAGGCTGGTCTCAAACTCCTGGCCTCAAGTGATCCACCCACCTCAGCTGCCCAAAGTGTTGGGATTACAGGCATGAGCCACTGTGCTCGGCCCCAAAGCATCCTGAACCACAACAAAAACCTACTCAGTAATGTTATGAGACCCTTTGTTTTCATCTCCATTTGGCAGGCAGAATGGAATACTAAATATTAAAATCACATTATGTCACTGTCTTAAGATTTTTCAATAGCCTGCAAAAAACTGGGGGATAAAATATAAACTCTTCTGCACTATTTTTCAAACTTCTTTTGACTGTAACCTCAGTAAGAAATGTATATTATGACTGAGTACATATACTCAAACATAAAACAAGTATGTCATAAAGTTATCTTGGCTATTATGTATTATATATTCATATTTTGTTATTTTCTCTCCTGGTTTATTAAAAACAGTAACAAGTATTGCTTATAATCTACTAGGTCATATTCATAACTTCTAGCAGGTTTTGCCTGGCCTGGCTCCAGTCAGCCTCTCCAACTCTCTGTGGCACCTTTGCCTCACGATGCTCCAGCTGCAAAGGCCTTCTCTTCATACCTCATATACACCAAGCTCCACCCTCCTGTGGCCTTCAGTACACTGTTACCTTTGCTAGGAATGCTCTTCCCTCTTCTCTCTACCCTCAGTCTCCTTACCTGTTTTTCATTCTTTCAGAGCTCACCTGAAACTTTATATACCTTTGCATTTCCTGAGAAGCTCTCTCCAATCCCAGGCTCCTAGCAATGCTGTTCCAGTAATCTGTCTTCTGTTAAGACAGCCACTCTACTCACTACAGTCTACAAGGAAAGCCTCCATAGCTCTGGATGCTTGTAAGACCTCCACATCCTGCTATTAAGGCTGGCTTCTCCGCAGAGATCTCAATTTCCATAAGCTCTTAGTGTGGTAGTCCTCCTATCCTTAGGTTATAAAAGGAATAATAAAAAATAATAAAAAGCCTACCATCCCCTAAAAGACCACGAGAGGCCAGTCCTGTAATGCCTGATATCTCTGAGTTATCTCAATACTCTTAAAATCCTTGGCTTCCTGGATCCTTGGTCATCACTTGGGACTCTTATCCCATCCATGTCCTACTTTACTCCAAACTATGCCTTTTGGAACTCACAGTGTACTTTCTACAAAATCCTCTACAACCTCTACCTTCCCTCTGATTATTCTCTTCACCTTCTTGATCCTATTGAAACCTTGAGCACACTACTTGCCCAGAAACAATGTTTTCCTTCATGTCTTTCCCTCCACCTCTCTTCACCTAACCTCTCCCAGGGTAGATATAATTATAGCAAGTCAGCACCAACTCACCAAGGAATCAGATATACAAAGAGAAGTACTCAATGTTAATTTTTCTACAAGTACTCCTAATCATGATATTTACCATCATAGAATGAATTGTATTCTATAGACTCTGAAGCAGCTCTAATCTAAACTCTTATTATTACCCAATGAGAAAGCCAAACAATGATTAAACACAGAACTTTCACTTCCTGTTCCATACACTAATTGGCTCTTTACCCCTATTCACAGAATTAATCTATATTTAAACCTCCATGGATTCATTAACTATTTTAAGAACCTACTACTGAATTCAAATACTACCAAACTCCTGAATAGTCTCCTATAAATAGAAGGCATTATAGCAGTCATAGTAAAAACAGAAAAACAACAAAAAACCCCCACCCCTTTATATCCTCCACCTTGACTACCAAAAGCATATGTAGAATCCTCAAATGCTGCACTCACAGTTCCTGCAGCCACATTACTAAAATTAATAGGCTGGAGCATAATACAAATTACTATAATTTTAAATCTACTAACATGAGCATATAGCCTATCCACTTCTTACCACTATGAGGAATAATTATAACAAATTCTATTTGTTCATACTAAACAGACGTAAAAGCACTCACTGTGTATTCCTCTGTAACTCATATAACATCACTAATTATAGCTTTTCTCATCTAAATGCCATGAAGTTTTATAGGAGCCACAACCCTAATAACTGCCCATGATGGCACAACATCAAAATGATTTTGCCTTACAAATTCAAACTATGATACCAGGCCTGGTATCTCACACTTGGTAATCCCAGTACTTTCCTCACCTCAAGTCAGGAGTTTGAGACAAGTCTGGCCAACATGGTGAAACTCCATCTCCACTATAAATATAAAAATTAGCCAGGTATGATGGTAGGCACCTGAAATCCCAGCTACTTGGGAGATTGAGACAGCAGAATTGCTTGAACCCAGGAAGTGGAGGCTGCAGTGAGCTGAGATCACACCACTGCACTCCAGTCTGGGTGACAGAGTGAGACTCCATCTCAAAAAACAAAAACAAACAAAAAACCCAAATTCAAACTATGAACAAATCCACAGCCAAACCATACACAAGGTTCCTCAACTTATGACACTCAGACTTAAACGATTTTTCAGCTTTACCATGGTGAGAAAGCAAAACAACATTCAGTATGCTCCTTGACTTACCAAGGGGTTACATGGAATGATTTAACAATATTTTTGACATTATCCAGAAGTAATCCAATGTATGTTGAGGAGCATCTACACTATTAGCTCTCAGACTACAGACATTACTTCCTTTAACAGAAACATCATACTATGGGCTAGCCTAACTAACCTAGCCTTTTGTACCAATTTGTTGGTTCCTAAGGCCAACAGATTACTTCTAACCTTTAAAAGTTTAGAAAGCCATATTGTTATTCATGGAGGCATGAGTTAGCAGTTGATAGCCTTACTATCAACTATTAACCTGAATGGAGAATTATTTGAAATTATATCATTTTTATGATTAATTTTGCCATTAACCAAATAGGACTAATATACTAATTATGGCCATATAGTCCCTCTATCTATAAATCACATCACAATGAGAGGGGAACTTCTTGTTGCCTGTCCAGTGCCCACCTATGCCTGTGCCCCCCCTCCCAGTCCTCTGTGATGAAAGTCCCAAGGCCAGGGCTCCCCTTCATTTCCTGTCCAATTCCCTGAGAAAGGAGCCAAAAGAGACCCCCTCCCCCAGAAGGGGCTAGAGGGACCTCAGGCCCCGAATGCCTGGAGACAGAGGAGGCTCCCCAGTCCTCTGCCTCACTGGCAGGGCCAGAAAGTGCTGAACTCGAGGGTCTCAGGCGAGGAGGACATGGAAGTGGGCATCTTCCAGGTCCTGGAATTGCCAGGGGTGGCAGTGGTGCCTGAGTGATCATCCAAGCTGGCTGGGTCTTCTTCTGGCATCATTTTCAGCAAGATGGTAAACAGGGAGTTATCAAAGGACATGTCTGTGGTGTCAGAATTAATCTGGGCCCAGCAGGATTCTCCATCTCTTTTCTTCTGTAAATTTTTGAGTTTAACTTTTCTGACTACAAGGGCAACAGCCACCAGCCCAGCAAGGAGGAGGAGGGCACCAGCTAGGCTCAGGGACAGCACCAAGATCCAAGTGGGCACTGGGAAGGAGATGTTCAAGGACTTGCTGAGGTCTGACAGCTGGGGCTGGTTGTGCCCGCCTATCACTCCATACTGGTGGTGGAAAGGTCCCCCTGGAACCTCACTGCTGCTGCCACTCAGATTGAACATCACTCTGCACTGGTTTGCTGGACCACCTGCCCCCCTCAATACAGTGTGAAATTCGCTCCCGGGAAGTCCCGAGGGGCCACGCATGCAATGTGGATGAGGTCCTCTTCGCTGCTTGGGTATGGGGGCACCAGCCAGATGGACGGTGCTGGGATTGCCAAGGAGCGAGGAAACTGAGCCTGATGATCTCAGGTGCAACAGTTTCATCCCAAAACCAGTCCACCCTTCCCCTGTCGTGCCCGCCCCACCCCAAAATGCTGTGTTCCATGACACCAGTCCTTGGTGCCAAAAAGGTTGGGGACTACTGGTCTAAAAGACCATGTCAGGATTTACTATGGATGCCAGGGGACTCACAGAGAACAGAGAGGAGAGAAGCCAAGCAGGTATTTTCCTGGGACTGATATGGAGTGGGAGAAGCTCCCTAACATGGTGAAACTGAGTGAGTGAGAGTCCCTGAGGAAGCCAGACTTCCCACATGGACATTTGCAATCCTGGGCAAAGGAGAACCCCCAGCCCCAACCCCTGGGCCACTAGACCAACACAGAAAGCTACCTAGAGTTTTTGCAGAGGCACTGCTCAAGCCCATGTGGAGAAGCCTGAGCAGCTTGGTGCCAGCTGCCATAGCCCCAATGGAGGCTGCAGTCACAGTGCTGAGGAGCAGTTAGACTGCCCAGCCCCTCCTCACCAGGCAAGGCTCAGCTCCACCCGCCCCCACCTCAACACTGCAGCACAGCAACCCTGCCCCCACCTGAACTCTGCAGGCAGGCACACCTCTGCTTTCCACAAGGAACTTCCTAGATAGCAGACCATGAAACCCATGCTCTACCTCCTCTGAGGCAGCTAAGGCTCACCAGCTCAGACTTTCAGCACAGCAACCGCACCTCTGCAACAACTGCACCTCCGCCTAAACTGCAGTGGGCTGCAGCTCTGTGTTCCTCTGGGGCAAAACTCCCAGAGGTAACAGATAACACTTGGCACCTCTGTATGCCCCCAACAGTGAAGTTCTGCATTGTTTGGGAGGAAGGGAAATGCAAACGTGCCACGTGCACTTTTACAACCCCGCAGCTGCCAGTCTCCATTGCAGGAGTCCTGCCCTCTCCAATGAAAGGCCCACAGCACAGCTGCCCTGTCCCCACCTGCACATTTCACCTGCAGCCCAGAGCCCTTCTGAAAATCCAACCCCCACATAACTGTGATATTCCCTTGGGCTCCCACCACCTAAGCGTTCTGTAGGACCCTGCATGAGAGTTTGGCCAGTGACCTAGGAACCAACCTGTCCCACCTCCCCACATCATAGCCAGCACCTGAACTCTGGGCTAGCCTGACTGCAGTCCAGCCCCTTCAGGACTCACACAGGCTGTCCAGTGGGACAACGAGGGGCCTGGGAAGTGGGAAACTACCTGCCCCATTCCAACTCTGCTGGCACCTGACCATTTTCCCCAGGGCCTGAGGTGAGACCAACCCAACTAGCTGACACCACCAGAAACAACACTCACTCACACAGGCCCTGTAGAGGAGCCCCCCCTTCAACAGGAAGCAGCAGTACTGTGACATCGGAAAACAGGTGAGCCCTAATCAGTGGTGAAAGAATTGCCTATTCAATAAATGGTGCTGGGATAACTGGCTAGCTATATGCAAAAGAATGAAGAAGCCTCTGAAGATCTTACCAGTTTCTCATTGCATTTTGCAGGTGTTTCATCAATTTTAGGAGCTACTAATTTTAATTTTATTACAATTATAAAACCACCAGCCATATCTAATATCAGACACCACTATTAATTGAAGCTATGCTTTTATTACTCTCTCTCCCAGTACTAGCAGCCAGCATCATCATACTGACCATAACCTTAATATACTTTTTTTGATCCAGCTGGAGAAGGAGATCCAATTTTAGATCAACATTTATTCTGTTTTGTTTTTTTATCCAAAAGCATATATTCTTATTTTACCAGGTTTTGGGATAATCTCACACATTGCTACATACTATTCTGGGGGTGGGGGGAAGAACCATTTGGCTATATAGAAATAATATGACCCTTACGCCTATAATCCCAGCACTTTGGGAGGCCGAGGTGGGCAGATCACGAGGTCAGGAGTTCAAGGCTAGCCTGGCCAACATGGTGAAACACTGTCTCTACTAAAAAAAAAAAAAATACAAAAATTATGCTGGGCATGGTGGCATGCACCTGTAGTCTTAGCTACTCAGGAGGCTGAGGCAGGAGAATTGCTTGAACTGGGACCCAGGAAGCAGCAGTTGCAGTTAGCGAAGATCACGCCACTGCACTCCTGCCTGGGCTACAGACTAAGAGTCTGTGTCAAAATAATAATAATAATAATATGACCCTTAATATCAATCTGGCTCATAAGCTTTATCATATAAGCCCACCATATATTTACAGCAGGGAGACATTGACACCTGAACATATTTTACACTAGCTACTATAATTATTGCTATTCCTACAGGAGTTAAAGGATTTAACTGACTAGCAACCCTATATGGAGGTAATATTAAATGATCTCCAGCTATATTATGAGGTTTGGCTTTATTTTTCTACTAACAGTTGGAGGCCTAACAGGAATGGTTCTAGATAACTCATTAGCAGACATCAATCCCCAAGATATGTATTATGCTGTAGCACATTTCTAACATGTTCTATCAATGGTGCCATCTTCACCATTATAGGATTTATTCACTGATTCCCATATTTTCAGGTTATACACTCAACCTGAGCCAAAAATCCATTTTATATTTGTAGGTGTTAAACTGACTTTCTTTCCACAACATTTTCTTGATTCACCAGGCATGGTACGATAATACTCCAATTATACTGATAGATATACAACATGAAATACCATCTGCTATGGTTTGGATGTGGTTTTTATGCACTAAATCCCATGCTGAAATTTAGTCCCCAGTATGGTGTCTTTGGAGATGGGGTTTAGTGGGAGGTGCTTGGCTCACAGGGGCTGGTCCCTCTTGAACAGATTAATGCCCTCCCTCAAGGGTGAGTGAGCACTTGTTCAACTCGTTCTCAATAGAGCTGGTTTTAAAAAAAAAGCCTGTCACCTTTCCCCTCTCTCACCAGGTGATCTCTGCTCTGCACACACTGGCTCCCCTTACTTTCCATCATGAATGGAAGCAGCCTGAGGTCCTCACCAGAAGCCAAACAGACACAGGTGCCATGCTTCTTGTACAACCTGCAGAAACACGCACCAAATAAACCTCTTTTCTTTATAAATTACTCAGCCTCAAGCATCCTTTATATGAGGATGAACTAAGACACCTATTATACTTGAATTAGTTCCACTCTAACACTTTGAAGAGTTCAGCATCTATATTTAACTACCAAAACTAGAAATATTCATGGAATTTTTTTCAACAATTCTAGCACTATTTACTTCCATTAAAATTTTTGAAACATGCTTGTTCTTAAAATCTATCACCAAAGAACATGGACGCCTTAAAACATGAGACCCCACCTGGGAAAAAAGCGAGCTAAAATGTATTCATCTCTTTCACTATTCCTACAATAATAGGACCATTTATTTATATTCCAATCATTTAATTCCCAAACATCATGTTCCCTGCCCCCAACTACCAAATCCATAATAGATTAGTCTCTGTTCAACAGTGACGAGCACAAGTCGTACTAACACAATAACACATAACGTCAAAGGATGTTATTACCAATAACAGCAACAACTCTTACAGCACAATTTCAAGCAACCGCCCTTTTTTACAACCACCATGCAAGTTAGCAGGTCACTTGCCCTTATACCCACCCCTCCAGCATTCTATTTTATTTTATTTTTTTGAAACATGGTTTTGTTCTGTCACCTAGACTGAAATGCAGTGGCGTGATCATGGCTCACTGCAGCCTCAACCTCAGGGCTCAAACGATCCTCTCACCTCACTCTCCCAAGTAGCTGAGACAACAGGCATGTGTCACAATGCCTGGCTAATTTCTATTTTAAGTAGAGATGGGGTTTTGCTATGTTGCCCAGGTTGGTCCTGAACTCCTGGTCTCAAGCAACTCACCCACTTCAGCCAAAGTGCTGGGGTGATTACAGGCTTGAGCCACTGTGCCCAGCTTACCACCATTTTTTTTTTTTTTGAGACAGAATTTTATTGTTGTTACCCAGACTGGAGTGCAATGGCGCGATCTCAGCTCACCGCAACCTCCGCCTCCTGGGTTCAAGCAATTCTCCTGCCTCAGCCTCCCGAGTACCTGTGACTACAGGCACACACCACCATGCCCAGCTCATTTTTGTATTTTTAGTAGAGACGGGGTTTCACCTTGTTGACCAGGATGGTCTCGAAGCTTAACACCATTTTAAAGACTCTCCTTTGAAAACAAAACAAAACATAAACCTCTCCTGATTCTGTGGTTTACCCTGCAGTAGATAGGAGCCGCAGAGTGAACCACAGAATCAGGAGAGTGGCAAAATTTCTCAAGAGGTATGCATGCTTCCTGTCTCTACCTTTTGCTTTTCTTTCTCTCCTACCACTATAATTAACATTTTGCCATATTTTCTTCCTAAATTTGTTCCATGGATTTTCATTTAGTTGAAATAATACTGCATATGCAAACTGTAATCACACTTCTTTCCCCTAATTATTACAGAATTGTTCTTAACCTTCTAAAATATTTTTAAACTCTATTTGTAACTTTGAGGGTTCCTCAAAGGGGCCTTTGACACTGGTGAGTTAATTCACTGTCCCACTCTAGTTTTTATTGTTGACTTCTTTCTTTCTCACTCTCTTTTAAATACTCTGTTATGAGGTTTTTGTTCCTCTCATTTCCAAACCCACCTTGTCAGGGTCACCAGCACTCTTCATCTTGCCAAATCCAAGGGCCAATTTTCAGCCTTCCTCTTACTTGACCTTTTAGCATCGTCTCTCTGTTAACTGCTTCCTCCTTTGGTCAGCTGGCTTCCAGTACACTGCATTCCTTCTTCCTAGGTCACAGGTTACTCAGGTAGTCCTCAATTCCCTTTGCTAGATTTTTTTCCTGACTGAATGCTGGAACACTGCATGTTTTAGTCCTTGAACTGTACCTTGCCTTCCATCTAAATCAACTCCCTTCAAAATCTCATCCAGTTCCTCCATACAAAGATTAATCCCATATTTATCTCTTCAGTCCTGATTATCCCTCCACCCACAGGCTTCCAAATGTTTATCTAACTTTACCACACGGATATTTAAATACGTAACTCTTGACTTCCTTCTCCAGATTTCCAAACCCTGGTGCCTCTATTGCCAATCTTCAAAATAACTTGATTATGAAGGTATTAATTCTACCTTCAAAATATAACCTGTTCTCATCACCTCCACATATTAAACCCAATTCCAAGCCACTATTATCTTTAGTGTGAACTTCTGAACTAGTCCTCTGATTAGTCTTCCTGCTCTCATTCTTATCCTTACCGCCCACATAGCACTCACAGTGACCTTTAAACAAAGATCCTTTACTTATCTGCAAAACATCAGCCAGGGGCTCACTATAACACTTCCAATAAAATCTTACTGCTTGCAATGGCCAAGAAGGTCCTACATGATCTGATCTCTGCCTGTTTCTCTGACCTTGCCTCTAATTTCCATTTTCAGTGGCCACACTGGCCTTCTTGCTGATTCTCAAACAAGTGAAGCTTAATTTCTCTCAGGATCTTCTGTTCTCTCTGCCTGAACACACACTTATTTCCCCGATTTATAGCCAACTTTATTCAGGTCTCAAGTCAAATGTTACCTCCCTTGAGCTGTATCATTCCTGGTACTAACCTATGAACATAGCAAGCTCTCGATAGATATGAGTGCTAGAGATACTTATCGAATTTCAACTGTAGAAGAGTAACTGGGAAAAAACACTAATTTCAAAATAGGTAAAAGCAATGTCCCCAAAAGAGACCAGACCAAAGGTTTTATTTAAAAAAGAGAGAGAGTGTGTAAAAAAGAAGAGTGGTAAGTGGGAGATGGGAGGGAGGTTCCACTGGGAACTCACAGACATAACCTTCCTGCTCTCCCTAGGTCTCAAGCCTTCTTTCCAAAGGCGTTTGAAGAGAGCTTCACACAAACATCTCAAAGTGCTGCCACCTACAGATCAGCTGTATTATTAGTAGCAATAGCTGACACTGTGACCAGCCCTTATTCACCTGAGCTGTCTTCCTGTCATGGTTCTCATCACCATCCAGGGCTCCTTTCCTTGCTCCAATAAGAAAAATACATTTGGCTTAGGGACTGCATATCCAGCTTAAAATAAAGGAAATGGTACATGGGCATGCTAAGGGATTCCCAGATTCAAATCCAGTCCATTGGCTATCAAAGAAGGGAGACATGACAGGAAGTGACAGAGAAAGATGTGACAATCTAAAGGATGAGAAATAAAAAGGCAAACAGTGGAGTTGTCCACTCCTACTTCCACTCAAACTTAAGCCTTTCCTTAGGGAATGGAGATCAGAAATTGACAATGAATGAGGCAGAAATGATGGGGAACAAATTCTGAATATTATGTAGGATGATCTTACCCAATGAGATCAGGTTGCTGTAGTTCTCCAGCATCACATCCCTGTACAAGTCCCTCTGAGCAGGGTCCAGGCATTCCCATTCCTCCTGAGAGAAGTCAATGGCCACATCCCTGAAAGTCACCAACAACTGAAACAACAAATCCATCATTTGTGAAAATACGGCAATGATTCTGAAGTAAAATGAGAAGAAAATGGAGGCGGTAATTGAAGGAAGGGGGTAACACAAAACAACAGAAAATTGATTGCCTAAACCATAATATTAACATGATTCTCTATCATTCCTATTGCCATAGACAAAACTTCCTCTGTACAACAGAATAATTCCATTATCCAGAAAGGTCTGAGAATTTTAAAAGCCAGATTTGTGCAGTTTCTCATTTCAATAAAATACTGCACGCATTTATTTCACAGCAGATTTTAATTGTACAGATTAGGCTTTCAAACCCTCAATAACTGGTACATTCTCAATAAATACAAGTTCTTGTTCTCCCTTCTGCCTTTAAAGAAAAAGACTTTTAAAAATATTTTTTCCAAACAATGTTTCCCACCAAATATCTAGGTGGGAAAATAAAATTTGAATATAGCCTAAGGAGTTTTTGAAGACTCAGATTCATCAAGTTATAATATAATGTTACAGAATACAATGGACACGTGATATTTCTGTTTTATATACAAAATGATCTGCTTATGTGGGAGCAGTTGAATTAGACAAATTCTCTAATGACTTTGGGCTCTTAGAATCTATATTTCTTAAGACGGTATGCATCTGGCATGTTTTATTTGCTCCTACTTTCCAGGTTCCTAGGCTACAGCAAGGCGGCCTAGGATGCCAGTACAGGTGCACAGAGACATCACTCTGAACTGGTACATTACAGGAAATCCCAAGGTAAACTTGATGATGATCATCCTCTCTCATTGGTTCCTGGGCAAGAGGGCTGCGATAGGCAGAATAAAGGCCCTCCCCGCCAGACATGTCCACAACCTAATCCCTGAAACAGTAACAGTATTGACTCAGTGTTAAAGAAAAGCTTGGTTGCTTAAATATAATTATTAATTTGCTTGACTTTGTAGATTATTCACTAAAACAGCCTCAGGAAAACAGGACCTTCAACAGAGATGAGAGAAAATATGCAGACTCACAACTCTGGGAATGGGCTGACCAGCCTGGTAAGAAAAGGCTGACAGCAACTACAGAAGGCCATAAAACATTGACCAAGAAAGCAATGGCCAAGAAAGCAATGACCTGAGACTGCACGTTTCACAAGAATGTTTTGGTCATCATTTTTCCTGATTTCCCTTAAAAACCCCTGATGCGGAAACACAACTCAGTGAAGTGGTCTTTGAATACTAGTCCACTGCCTCCCCTGAGGTGCTGGCTTCTTGAAAAAAGCTAACCTTCCTTTCACCAATGCTCACCTCTTGAGTTTTTGGCTTTCAAGTGATGAGTGGCCTGGAGCTGAGTTTGGTTACAAAAGCTATGTTTTGTACCATAGCTTACCTTACATGGCAAAAGGGACTTTAGAAGGGCAATTAAATTAAGGACCTTGAGAAGGAATTATCCTGGATTATCTGGTTGGGCCCAATGTAATCACATGGGTATTTATAAGTGATAGAGGGAGGCAGGTGAGGAAGAGAAGATGTGATGATGAGAGCAAAGGTCAAATGTTGTGATTGCTGGCTTTGAAAACAGATGGAGACCACAAACCAGGGGCCGTGGACTGCCCTTAGAACCAGAAAAAGATAAGAAAACAGATTCTCCAGTCTTCTAGAACCTCCAGAAGGAACACGGCTCTGCTAATACTTTGATATTAGCCCTGTTGACTGATTTCAGACTTCTGACCAGCAGGCATATAAATCATAATTGTATTGATTTAAGCTGCTAAATTAGCGGTATTAGTTACAGCAGCAATAGGAAACTATATCAGGAACAAGAGCCCTTCCTTCATAGGACCCAATTTAAATGCGTCACAGAAAATCTTGCCATACACCGAGACTAGAAATATCCAACCAAAAATGCTATCACTTTCAAGTGAAAACACAGATTTGTAGAGAAGATCAAACTTTGTCACGTGTCACATTTAAACACTCATTTCTACTTCACCAAACCATGGTACTGTGTACCATTCTTAAAAGGAGGTATTTCTTCTGTTCCCTCAGAGCTCTTGGCAGAAGACTATTCTTGTGGACAATGTAGAATTACCTGCCAAATGAACATCTAAAAAGTGTCTGAAGAAGGGAGAAGCATTGAGGAGAAGGGCTCTTTGGTACTACGGCTTGTTAGAATGGGAGAATAGTTTGGGAGCAGTTCCCTTAAGGGACCAAACGAGGCAGAAAATTCTGGGATAAATAAATCTGGTATTCACATTACACAACAAAATGATTATACTTCAAAAAGGAAAGAAACAGTAACTCACATGGGGCATGGTTTTTTAGAACTGTCAGAACCGATCAGTTTTCTGGGTTCCTTTCCTGGAGGTGTGTGAAGTCCACAGAAGCCAGTGCTGCAGAAGGAAAAAAAGCCACAAGATTAGACTTAGCTCACAGCCCACAAAATTAACTCCTCAGAACTACCTTTATGTCCCCACTTTTGGGAGTTTGGAAAAAATCTCAGTCCTTCCACAAACCCAATGGAAGCCAGCAAAAGGGATTCAGACCAGACCTTTCCTTAATCTCCATAGTAAACAGGACCCTAGGTGCTGCTACTTTCCCACAGCATCTTCTCCTCCACAGTAGCACAGGGACGCCCAGGGAGCCCTATGCTATCCCCCTGGACCCAAACACTAAGTGAGGTACTTTGCTCCCAATCTTAGGAAGGGGCTTCAGAGACCAAAATGTGGCCTCCTTTCAGACATCATGAACATCAGCTAGACTCAGACATTTGATAGACACATCAGGGTCAACAGATGAAAACAGTCTCTATCCGAACACAAATGCCTGAGTTCATGGTCACAGCCTCATCCTGATTTATGATTCCCAGAATCTTGCAGTCAAGCATACACTAAGTCTCAATCATGACAATCTGTAATTTTCTTCATTAAGCATGTGAGAGCCTCTCTCTGAGGCTATCTAGGGGGATCCCACCCAGAGTCATCTCATTAGCACGAACTCAGATGTGATCAAAAGTGGTTTATTATGCACAAGAGACATTCTCATCACTCAAAATATTCCAAAGATTTTTAAGAGCTCTGTGCCAGAAACAAAGAACAAAGACCAAATTTATTTCTTCTTCGTGTTGCTGTTCAGATAGGATCTCTCTCTATTGCCCAGGCTGAAGTGCAGTGGTAGGATCACAGCTCATTGCACCTTTGACCTCCTGGGCACAAGTGATCCTAACTCAACCTCCTACCTCAACCTCCTGAGAGCTGGAACCACAGGTGCATGCCACCACAACCATCTAATTTTTAAAAATATTTTGTAGAAATGGGGGGCTTGCTGTGTTGCTCAGGATGGTCTTTAACTCCTGGGCTCAAGCAGTCCTCTCGCCTCAGCCTCCCTAAGTGCTGAGATTACAGGCATGAGCCACTATAGCCAGCCTGTGTTTCTTATTATACCACAAATACTAACGCAAAATTCTGAAATAAAATACTAGAAAACAAAAATCCACGAGCACATTTTTTTTAAAGTCATGATTAACTTTGACTTGCCCAGTACCAAAAATTTGATTTGATATTAGAATATACATTGATATAATTTATGATGAAACCACCTCTGTAGAATCACAAATAATGAGAAAAATCTAACATGACTGACTCCATTTTGCTTCTGAACTTACAGGCTAAAATTTTGTTTTACTTATTCTAGTATGGAGGCTGAGATAACTATGAGAGGGCTTTAGTTTATAGTTAAATTTGGAGGCAAGGAAAACTGACTCCCCTCCTTGCTTGGAGACTAGAGGCACATTCATAAAGCAAGGTTAAAATTATGGCAGAGGCTTGGATTTTGCTAAAGTCTGGGCATAAACAATGACCTGCCAGTGCTTAGTTTCTTTTTTTGTAAACTGCTTACTTCCCCAATCACAGTAACTGCGGGTCACAACATTTATAATTTTCTCAAGTACTCCTATAGATAATAACACATTCATGAAACCTAAAGGACTGGTCTTTGAGATATTTTTCCAGATTTAGCATTTTGGTAGGCCAAGAGATGTCACCTGTTCCTGAGAACTATCCCTACCAGCTCCTGGAAGTGACTCAGCTGTCTGAAGACACCATTAGAAGCTCCCGTGATTTCATTGCCAGCCAGTCAATTTCTCCAGTTCCCCAGCCCTCTGCCTGCCAAAGTACCCTTTAGAAACCCTAGCCTCAAATTCTTGGTGAGATGGGCTTGAGAGATTTCTTCCAATTCTCCTTGCTTGGACAGCCCTGAAATATTGACAATAATAATTATTATTATTTTGGGACAGAGTCTCACTCTGTCACCCAGGCTGGAGTGCAGTGGCACAATCTCGGCTATGCAACCTCTGCCTCCCGGGTTCAAGAGATTCTCCTGCCTCAGCCTCCCAAGTAGTTGGGACCACAGGTGTGTGCCACCACACCCAACTAATTTTTGTATTTTTAATAGAAATAGGGTTTCACCATGTTGATCAGGATGGTCTCAATCTCTTGACTTCATGATCTGCCCACCTCGGCCTCCCAAAGTGCTGAGATTACAAGTGTGAGCCATTGCACCTGTTCCCTGAGATTATTAAATTCTGTTTTTGCTGCAATATCTGCTATTCTCATTGGTTTTGGGGGAGCAACAGGCAGGAACAACCTATCAGGCTGATAATGATAATAACTGATCTGTGGAAAAGAATCGTATTACCTCCGTAAGGGTTAAAAAAATTGGGAAAATTCACTATCCATTCCTGAAAAACACAAAAAATAGAAATTGATGGCTATTTTAACATGATAGAAACAAGGCAAGAATACTCACAACTTTCACTACCATCTACCATTATATGAAACAGTTTATCAACCAGTGTAAAAAGACAATAAGCAATAAGAACAGGAAAAGATGTGAAACCCTCTCTATATGCAGATATGATCACATGCCTGAGAAAAACCCATGAGACTCAATGGAAACAAAAACCTCCAACAAATAAGAGAACTTAAACTAGTAGGATATAAAGTTAGCATTAAAAGAAATGGCTTTTATATATAAAACAATAACTACACAGAAAATATAACAAAAGAAAAGTCATTAAAAAAGCAAAATACCAAGGCATAAGCTTAACAAGAATGCATAAAATATATAGGAGAAAAAACATAAAATACTCTTGTAACACGTAAAAATAGATTTTAACAAATGGCTAGAAAATGTTTCTCAACCCAGTTTCCATTACTTTCCCTATGCCAGTCTTGGCCAGGTAGGAACCCGTGTAGCTGATGAAGCCGGCACCGAGGATGACAGGAACCTTGGGAATTAGTTTTCGCGCAGACAGTACAGGAGGACTGGACTTCCTGTATGGTACTGAGGAGGTGGTGGGGGTGAAAGAGTGGGTTGAGGAACTGGTATAGGGTTTTAGGTCCAATGTGGAGTGAATTGTGGATGTCTTGGATTATTTGGTACCTTTGCTTTTTGGGGAGGATGAGGAGGTTATGCTTGAAGGCCCAGTTGTCCTTGAACCATACCCTGGGGGTAGACTGGAGGATCTTAAGTTCTGAGGCAGAGTATTGGGGGCTATATGACTTGGAAAAGAAACAGAGAGTGGAAGTGGGCGGCAGATGGTTTCTTGCCGTATCTTTAGCCACCCTGTCTGCAAAGGCATTCCCCGCGGCTACGGGTGAGTTCAGGGACTGATGCCCTTTACAGTGGACGATGGCTACCTTGCTAGGGAGTTGAACGGCCTGGATAAGGGCAGCAATGAGTTTTCCATTGAGGACGGGCGTGCCTTTAGTGGTGAGGAAGCCCCGTTTTTTCCAGATCATGCAGTGTGAGTGAGCTATGAGGAAGGCGTACTTGGAGTCAGTATATATATTCACTTCTTTGTTCTGGGACCAGGATAGGGCCCGGGTAAGGGCGACCAGTTCAGCCTGTTGTGAAGTGGTCCCAAGAGGAAGGGGGTGGGTTTCTATAATTTCAGAGTGAGTTACTATAGCATAGGCTGCTCTCCGTGGGCCGGTGGGATGGGGTATAGAGCTGCCATCAACGAATAGGGTGATGGAGGCAGATGGTAAGGGTTGAGGGAGCAAGTCGGGGTGAGGGGACTGGGCTAATTTGAGGATTTCAGTACAGGAATGTAGGGGGCTGGCGTATGGAGGGCAAGGGAGGAGGGTAGCCGGGTTTAACAAGGAGCAGTGGAGAGAGTGATGTTGGAGTTCTCAATAAACAGTAGGTGAAGCAGTTGGATACGGGAGGGCCCGAGGTGGGGCAGGGAGTGTTGACTGAGCAGCTCGGTCAACCTGTGTGGAGAAAAGACTTGGAGTGGGAGTTGTAGATTGATCTTAAGAGCTTCTGTGGTTAGGGTGACAGCGGCTGCTAGGGCTCTAAGGCAGGGCTGCCATCCTCGTTCAGTTGGGTCAAGTTGTCTGGACAGGTAGGCTATGGGCAAAAGGGTCTTTCCTACTGGTTGGACTAGCACTCCTACAGCTGTGCGTTGTTTCTTGTCCGTATATAACTGGAAAGGTAAGTTGGGATTAGGCAGGGCTAGGCTGGTGGAGGTACATAGGGCGTTAAGCAGTGACTTGAACGCCCGGTTGACAGAACCTGGTGAGGAAAGTGGTCCTTCGGGGGCTTCTGCAGCAGCATGGTATAGGGGCTTAGCTAGCAAAGCATAATTAGGTACCCAGTGGCGAAAAAACCCTACTAGTCCTAGGAAGGAGAGGATTTCTTTCGCTGACTCAGGGGCCTGGAGTGCCTTTAAGGCTTGTAGTCGGTCGATTGTGATGGACCGTCGCCCAGGTGTGAGCTGTATACCTAGGTAGGTGATGGTGGGTGAGGCTATTTGTGCTTTGGTTGGTGACACCCGGTATCCCCTGTCTCCTAGAAAATTGAGTAGGGCGGTGGTGGCCTGGATACAGTCCTGGCAGGTGGGAGAGCAGATAAGAAGGTCATCTACGTACTGGAGGAGGTGAGAGGGCTTGAGGTTGCAGTGGAGGAGGTCGGTGGCGAGTGCCTGGCCGAATAGGTGCGGGTTATCTTGGAAGCCCTGTGGAAGGACTGTCCAGGCCAGTTGTTGGGACATGTTCGTAAGGGGATCATCCCAAGTGAAGGCAAAGATAAAGTAGGAGTTGGGGTGTAGAGGTATAGTAAAGAAGGCATCTTTTAGGTCTAAGACTGAGAAACAGGTGGTCCCTGGGGGAATGTTAGAGAGAATGGTGTATGGGTTGGGGACAACTGGATGTATGGGAATTACAGCTTCATTGATTAAGCACAAGTCCTGGACCAGTCTATATTGACCCTAGGGGTTTCGTACTGGGAGGTTGGGGGTATTACATGGGGAGCTAATGGGGTTTAGGAGGCCTTGACCTTTTAGTTTCTCTCTGATGGGTCGGATACCCATACGGTGGGCTTTAAAGAT